ACTCAGTAGACCTTATTTCATTACAGATTGGTAGAACGTTACAGTATAATTCTTAAATCTGTGGATTTCATTACATTTCAACACGGCCTATTCTTACAGCATTTTTTTTTTGGCGATATGCCTTTATTTTTCAAATAAAAAGAAATAAAAAAATTTTAATTAAAATGAAAGAGCTTAATTCGATATATATACAGAACATATCAAAGTACATTTTTAATTTGCTTATCAATTTTGGGTGGGTCTAAGGGGTGTAAAAGGGTGCTGTTTATAAAAATTAATTTATTCTTTTTTGTCAAACATTTTACTTAAATGGTCAAGGGGTTTTTATTTTTTTATATTTTTAAAGGGATGATAGGGGGTTTGTATTTCCTTTGAAAGTGCGGGTATCAATTTTTGCCAGCCCCTCTCAAACAAAATAAAAAAGAAAAAAAAGCATATTATAAACAATACATGAATTGACTAGATATGTTTTGATCTAAATAGTGTTCTACTGTTTTTGCAAGAAAGCATGTGGCTACCTGGAATGACACGTTCTCATGTTGTATTATGAATTCAAGTAATTATTTAATATTCATGACCTTGTGTCATTCCTTACATCAGAATGACTGTCAGCTCATTAAAGACTATACACTTAAAAATTGTGTGGCTGTTAGACACCGTACACATTCTTCTTAACCCTCTACATTAAAATACTACACCCCGTTCACTTACATTTGTTTTTCTTGCTAGACTCTGTACACAAGACAAGGCTGTTTTTCGAAAATTTTGCTAAAACCAGCTCGAGTTGATGGGTGACCACTCAAATACAAATAGAGGGAAGTCTATATATATTTTGCATTAAAGACAAATTTTGATAAAGAAAATGCCTTTTTTTGGCTCAATTGAATGAAAATGTAAATGTCAACAAATACAGTTTATCGTCAATTTAACAAAACTATTCAATTTACAGAAGAAAGCAAAAATGTCTTTAAAACCAGATGCTTTCAGCTTCACAAAATTGTTACGTTCGGAAAAATCATTTAAGTTATGATTGAGAAATTGGTTGAAACATTACCTCGGGTGAACTTGTCGTACACCTTTTTACTTTCGTTTTCGATATTTTCAGGGGCTACTTCCGGTGAACGCTGTGCGACAGTGCACTCGGGCTTATTGGCTTTCGTGTATATATTTTACACTTTAACTGGAACCATGTACTTTCTTATGACAATGCACTTAAAATTTATATCTTTTTCCTAAACAATCAACAAACAAATGTCACAAAACAAATGTCATTTTGGTACTTATTAATAATTTCGGTCTAATTTTCGCAAATCAATATTTAAACTAAATTTCAGTTATAAACAGATAATTTCAAACCGAGTGTGTTGAAAGGGTGACCAAACTATCTTGTTTGCAGTTATTTATAGCTTTTCAATAGAAAAGAAAGGAAAATAATATTGCTTTAAATATTTATACTTTTAGTGATTGATAAACTTTTAAAATTAAAAAAAAAAACATATATTGAAATGTGTTTGCAGCTATTCAATATCTAATTGACAACCAAAATTGTCTATAGAATACAATGTTTACTTTATCTTTATCATGAAGATCAAAAAACGTGCACATTTCTTTTCAAATCTATTCCACTCAGAGTATTGATTATATATATTTTAATGTCAATACTTCAACCGTTACTTTTAACGCAAAAATTATTTATGGGATAAAACTAAGACTGTCATTGTTTTAAATCCCACTTTTTAAAACTTATCAAAACAAAATCTGTAAAATTCATTTACGAAAAATTTTTCCCCATTTTCAAATATAATGTGTAGTTTAAATTTTTAAAATTTTCCTGCTAAGTTTCAAAAATATCCCCAAATTTATTTAAAAAATCTTTTTTAAACTAAACCCCGATTCTAAATTTTAAAAAAAATTTTTCTTTTTTTAATAGAAGGTAGCCGTTTCCTTAAAAATTCAAAAAAAAATTTTTAAAGAGATAAAAATTATTTTTAGACAAAGAAAATTTTTCTTTTTTAAATTGAATTTTTAAAAGGGTGTAAATAATAAGAAAATATTTATTTTATTTGGGCCCTTACTAATCCAGAGATGTTTAGGGGCAAATTTAAAAACCTGCATGTTTTAAATAAAAATGAAATAATGAATGGTTAATCCACAGGCACGAGTATCGGACCTGGGAAGAAAAAATATGACCAGATTGATAAAAAAATCTGTGTTCATCTTAAAAGTGTCAAAAAACAAAAAAAATGTAAATAATGACCCCCTTTAAAAATATACTTTGGTTAATGATACATTACAGTGAAACTGTTTTTCTGTACGAAATCTGCTGTGGTCATAATATTATTTTTAAAATAGGTTTATCTCTTCAATTTGGTTTGCAAATCATGGTCATGCAACTACATAATTAGGTAAAGAAGCAGACGCTTGTTTTTGTTGAGTCTTTTATGTTTTTATAGGGGTGATTTGTTATTCACAAAATTACACTTTATATGCATGTATAATTTGCAATGCTATTTTATTATATTGAATGTTTTTTGGATTGATTTATCAAATTATTTGTACTGTAATTAAAAGTGTTAGACTCGTATGTCCGATTAAAGGCATAATCTTAATGAAAATGAAATTAGTTCACTTTTTCATTTGTATTGATCACATGATGGTTTAAGCCAATTAAAAAAACATCAACATGAATCGGGTAGAGAAAAATTTTGCTAATAGTAAATCGATAATCTTTACAAACTTTGAATAGCAAGTGTTAATTTCATATTATATTTTCGGCAGAAGAAACTGTCCTAGGGGCCAGGCATTTTTGTATCGTAACATGGCTTCCGTGTCAGTATCACGTGATTATCCCAAGCACCACCGTGACTTAGCGCGGTAATTGTAGTATATAGCTAACCTGGACGTGTCGCATAGGATATCATAGTAAATATTTTTTTTATATTTGTTTGTAATAAATATTTACAAACCGTATCTTTTGGGGTTTTATTTGATCAGTCGATAACAAAAAATGATGTTTTTGTAAATTAATATTAATCATTTCTCAAATGAATATAATTTAATTAATTTATGAACTTCTACATTTTATGTCATATTAAGTTTTGATATTGATAGATTTTAGAATGTCGACAGTTGTCATTAAATGTCTCGTATATATTCTTTAAATGTTTTACCATCGGGCTTTTGTTGCAATACCCAAAGCACAATTTTGCTATTTTACTTAAACAGTTTAGCGTTATATATAACTACTTCCTAGTAAATTGCATATTAAATTCGAATTCACTTTGAAACTGTCTATAATGACAGAAAAAGGACCATTAAGTGAAAGCAACGTTCACGGATGAGTAGATACCACAATGTACAGTCATACAGGACACTCTTATGATATATTATCGTATAAGATCTTTCAAGTTGTGTTTAAGCTGTGAAACAAAAGGGTCTAAAGCAGTTCTCTTAATAAAATGTGAACATTACTTAGTTTTAGTCAAGGTCTCAAGTTTGAAACAAATATCAAGGTAGACCATCTGATAGTGAATGACAGTTTAAATTATTTGCGGTATCTCCCCTTTTCCAGAATCTTTATATTATCAGTAACAGATAAACAGTTGAATGTGACAACTGTTAAACGTTTTACGATACTTTAACAAAGTGTTGTTTTGAAACACATTCTCATTAAATCTAACACTTGAAGTGCTCATAAATTAATCATTGATTTTCTTTTAAACAGCTGGTGGCGAGTGAATCTTTCCATGCGAGCAGTGTAGACCAAGATGAGTTGGCACACCTCTGCTGTCTGGTCATAGCCTGCAAGTTTTCGCTATTCAGTTAGAACTTGCTTATGTTATTTTTCCCCCTGACATGATAAGTGGTTATGTCCAGAATGAAAAGTAACGGTTTTCCGTTCAGTTTGGAGAATCTTTTTTTTAGCTCACCAGTACCGAAGGTTTAGGGTGAGCTATTAGTATCAAGGGGATGCTCTGGCGTCCGTCGTCATGCGTCAGCAATCATTTTCTCTGAAACTGCTGGGCAAATTTACCTCAAATTTGTTCTGTAGCATCCTTGTGCAAGTCACACTTAAATTTGCTCAAGTCATTTTAATTGACCCCTTTTAGGGGTCACCAGAGCTAAAAATAGAAAAACCTTTAAGCATCTTCTACTACAGAACCAATTGATGGATGATCACAAAACCTTGTAGCATTCTTGGGTAGTCCTTTATCAAATTTGCTCATATTAATTTGATTGGCCCATTTTAGGAGTTTCTACAGCTAAAATTAGAAAAACCTTCAGACATCTTCTCCTACAGACTTTATGGATGGATAATCACCAAACTCTGTCTGTAGCATTCTTAGGTAGTATTTTATCAAGTTTGATCATATTAATTTGATTAGCCCCTTTTAGGAGCCGCTAAAGCTAAAAATAGACATACCTTTAAACGTCTGCTTCTACAGAACCAATTGATGGATGATCACCAAACTTTGTCTGTAGCATACTTAGGTAGTCCTTTATCACGTTTGCTCATATTAATTTGATAAGCCCCTTTTAGATGTCTCTGGAGCTAAAAATAGAAAAACCTTTAGACATATTCTAATGGATGATGATCACTAAATTTTGACCCCAGGGCTTTTATTTGAACAAACTTAGTAGACACCCATTAGAAGATGTTTCATGCCAAATACCTTAGCTCTTGCTCTTTGGGTTCTTTAATTGGGTTCTTTAAAAGAAGATTTTTCTAATTTTTACTATATGCATATAGGGAAAATCAATGAGCCCCTTGGGCGGGGCCAATTTTGACGCAAGGGCTTCTATTTGAACAAACTTGGTAGACACTCACTAGAAGATGTTTCATGCCAAAAATCTAAGCTCTTGCTCTTTGGGTTTTTTAGAAGAAGATATTTAAAGTTTTTTCTTTCGGTTGCCATGGCAACCAGAGTTCTGCATGGAATTAAATTCTTTGAACAATTTTCAAAGGTGACCACCAAAGGAACATTCCTGTGAGGTTTGGATGAAATTGGCTCAGTGGTTTAAGAGGAGATGTCATTTAAAGTAAAAGTTTACGGACGACGGACGGACGGACGACGGACGGACGCCGGACGAAAAGTGATCACAAAAGCTCACCTTGTCACTTTGTGACAGGTGAGCTAAAAATGGATTTCAGTCGGGCGTGACCAGTCGCTCGGTTCCAGCAGGTTCAGAGTTAAAGGAACCGAAACAATTAATTGTATACATGTTAGTGATGTAAGTAAAACTATGTATTTCTTTTCTTTAAGTAACCAAGTTTATTTTTCTATATTGATTGCTCAAAAATGATCTAAAAAAAATTTAACACCTTAGAGTTAGTAATGTAAACGGCACAGGCAGGATTTTTTTGAAAATATAAAGGACGCACACACACCTTCAAACACAAATATGTGCGCAAACATCACACAACCACACAAATATACACCAGTTAAGTAAAATTAACTGGACGTGTCAAATCATTCATTTATTTATGATATTAACATGAGCTGTAAGGAAACTATGTTTCGGATATTTCTGTGTGTACTTACTTTTTTCTGTAGGTACAATCCTATAGAAGGTAACTTAGTATTTACAGTTAATACAGATAAGTTTAATTAAATCAATTACTTCAATGCATGTAAGACATTACTTTTATTTATGTGTGATAATCATTGTTTTCCCTTTAATTAAAAAGAATTGGGAATATCAAGATTTTTTTTTATTTGGTTTATATCGGTTACATATAGATATTGATTGATTGATTTTTTTGTCAATTTATTAATTGGCAAACCCATATTGCAACTAGGCCAGTTGAAATAATTCAGGGGATTGTTGTTTTTGGGTTTCTTTTAAACAATCTTGTTTTCAGCGGGTTGTATATTTTCAATAGAAAATAATCTTTTTAAGGAAAATGAAAACACAATTATGGTAACAATACAATGTTTATTTTATACGTTTCATGAATTTTAAGACGTGCAGAATGTTTTTATCTATTCCACTCAGAGTTTTGATAATATATTTATAATGTAAATATTTTTAGTCGCTACTTTAACGCATGTTTTGATTGATTAAAGTAAGATTGATAATTAATTTATTGTATTTTTTACTCATCAAACTACATCTTTATAATGTAAATATTGTAGTAGCTACTTTAAAGCATGTGTTTATTGATTAAAGTAAGACTGATCATTAATTTATCATTTTTTTTTACTTATAAAACTACATCTAAAATTCAGAACGTAAATGTTTAAACATTCTTTAGTTATATTTGTATATTGTTAACCATCATTTTGAATTTACTTTGTTCGATAACATTATACTTAATCTATTTTAAAGTATGTTGTTCTAGTTGCTGTATTAAATTATTTAAGGTTAATATACAGCAGAGTGTGGCCGGAATCTTGATGATAATCGGCTTCAAACCGGGGGCATTATAACTTACTTGGCGGATTATCACTTTCCGGCCCGCCTCTGACGTCTATTTATGTAAGTATCTAATAGTAGCACCTAATTAATTACGTTGATATTTCATTCTTTCACTGTACAGTATCTTATACACAGTTGCATGTGCAAAAAAAAAAAAAAGTAGCAAGTTATATTTTCTCGGAATAAAATTTTTGGTTTTTATTCCTTTAAATTGCAATTAAACTGTGTCATCATAAAATTAAGCGATCAGTGCTTAAATCCTAACTTTCACTTTTACAGCCGACTGTTTGATGACGTAAAATGTGACGTTATTGTTATAGTTTTTGCACGTGCTAGTGTTCAGCGGGCCGATTATAAATAATAATTTCATGTGCTTCATTTACTATAATATTTAACTCTTATAAGAAACGAGAGTGTTTCAACGAGGAAGAATATCATATTGTTGAAACAGCAAGTCTCTTGTTGAATGTAGCAGTAACCTTGAAAAATACGTGTTTTGTAACGTAACATATTCGTGGCATTTATTACAGGTGTATTATTTTGTTAATATTTCAATGCCAAAGGAAACTGTTTGTTAGGGGAGCCCCGGGTTTTACGTTTTTTATTTTAATTTTAAAACAGCCCGGCAAAATTTTTTTTTTCCCCGTTGTAAAAAGGGTAAATCTAAAAAAACTGATAAAGGAAAATTTGAAAAAATCCGTTGTTATTAAAAGCTTAAAAGGCCCCTTTTTTTAAAATGCAAAAGGGTTTTTTGTTTATTGTAAATGAAAAAATGTAAATTAAATTTTTAAAATTTTTACTCCCTTCATGATTACTTTTTAAATTTTTTTATAATTATTTAATATCTTATCTTTTTAAAACCCGGGTGTGTATCTTGACGAAGTTTCCAAGAAAGCACCAAATGTTCACATTGACTAATTTTCGTAATTGTTGTAAATTTATGATCTTTAATATCTATAATAATAATAATAAATGTTATTATCTTATCTACACGATTATTTTACTCGATCAAAATATTTTATATATTAATCTTTGCTACATTTACGACCAGGTTAATATTTTTGGAGGAAAGAAACAAAAGTGACCAATTTTCGAAGGATGTAACCGATCTTCTCCGAGAACTGGACGTGAAATATTGTTTGACAGAGAGTATAGGAAATGCAAGGAAAAGGGTGCAAGAACCGAGATTTAAAAAATGGATAATGATTGTAAATGAGCGGGAATGCTTATAAATTTGTACACAAACTCTGACGAGAATAAGCACTTGCCAGCTGCGACATTCTACAGAAGCTTGAATCAAGCAATAAGGAGTGAAAACCCTGATTATATTTGGGAAAAAAGTGAAAAATTGCTGAATAAAGCTCTACATATAATCGAAACATTTGAGAATATATTCAGAGGGGGAAAGATGTTGTAAGTCTGATATTCCCGATAACCTAACAGAAGGGTCATCGTTCAAGGTACCAAGCTTCTGGAGCACTAGTCTTGATCCTTCAGTCACTGAACATTTTGGCGGTGCGAAATTTGCATTCATCATTATTAAGAACGTTCAAGGTGTAAATGTTCAACATGTTTCTGTAACAGATATGGAAAAGAAAGTTTTAGTTCAAAGCTCAAGGGATTATATTCTAGAAAGGAAAATAAGCAACAAGGAAGAACAACTAAAAGAGCTTGAAGCTAGATTTCACTAGCGGTATCCTAACTTTAAACCCTGAGAACATATTCAGACTCGTTTCTCTCAAATAGCATCGTGAACATGAGGCGTTATAAGTGTCTTTGTTATCAGCCGTGGGAATAAGCAAGTTAAAGTAATACGTGTATTTTATAAAAGTGTTCATGTGTTTTATCAATTGTGTTAGTATATGATGACTATCTCCTACAAGTGTTTAAAGTGTGAATCAAAATTTCTTGTTGCTTTAAATTTGTCTGTAAAAGTAAAACTAGTACATTGTATCAATAATATAACAGTTGCATAGCTTAAATTAGTAGAAAAAAACAACATTAATTGCATATTGTCAAAATGTTTTGAAAATATAAATAGTGATGAGATAATAAAATTACCATAAAAATTCATTTTTTTCAAGTACATGTAAATCATATTTAGAGATAGAGTTACACACATGTGGATAAAAATGTATCCTATTTGGTATATAGAAAGTGTCAGTATTCATGAAAATTACTGGTTAAAGACATTTCAAAAACTAAAACATTGAAAATGTTACATACAAATTATCTTAGCTATGTGTTGTTTTCAAAAGAGGGAATTAAATGTTACGTTGTTCATCCTTCATTCTTAACACCATCCTTTGTATAAAGTATGCCGAACGCCTAAGCTCTTGTCATTCGAGGTTCAATAGATATTTTTTAGAAGCTTTCCCATTTCAGGCTTTGTAAAAATAGCATTTTTGTGTCGCCTCTACGGAGTAGTGGCGACATACAGGGATCACTGCTCCGTCGTCTGTCTATCCGTCTGTCTGTCCGTTCGTCACAAAACTTGTCCGGACTACTCCTCATGAACTAATGGTGCAATTTAATCCAATCTTTACAGGAATGATCAGTACCAAGTCTAGTTGTGCATATTGTCATCATTTCCTGGTTCAATGATTTTTATCAGAGTTATGACCCTTTAATATTTTTATTTTAAAAGTTTGTCCGGACAACGTCTCTTATACCACTAATGCAATTTCAATGAAACTTTACAGGATTGATCTGAAGCTCAAGTCCTTGCGCTTTTTGCACGGGGTTTTCGGTTGAATGATTTTTGGCCTAGTTATGGCCCTTTGGTAAAAGGTGTTTTTTCTGTGTGTTGCCAGATACACAAAAGCTTGTCCGGACTACTCCTCATACACTACTGGTGCAATTTTATCCAAACTTTACAGGAATGATCAGTACCAACTATAGTTGTGCACTGTCCGTCTGTCTGTCCGTCTGTCGCAAAACTTGTACCAACATGAAATTGGTCATCATGAGACGTCACATGTGATCCCTTATCTTTCTTGTAGTTTAAATAAAAGAGGTACTTTCAAGTCTTTTCCTTCTTAGAGTCTAAAAATTGTTAAGTGGTCTTTCATATTTCATTTCAAAATAACAACAATTTGATATCATTAGGTATAAAGAAAGAACAATAACTCATTTTGAAAAATGTTTTATTTATTTAAAAATAACAATCCAACAAATACAAATGAAAATAACAAAAAAAAATTTCCCTGAAACAAAAAAGACCTTTTTACAACCCTGCATCAATTAACTTCATGCAAAACATATTTTCTACTTGTAAGAAAATTGTACAATAATAATACAGTACATAAGGTACATGTATTACAGGTTTTAAGTGAATAATATAACATAGATATGAACATGTAATAACTGTAACTCCTTTATTGTGATAATTAAATAGCAAAATGTATACGTATTCACCAATCTATAAAAAATGAAAATATTATTAGTTGACTCTTAGTCAAAGATAAGTGTTATAATCACATTTCCATTTACAATATTTCTCTGGTTATAAATATAATAAGACATTCTAACCTCTTCAGAATTCATGATGGCGTCCAATATGGCCGCCGATTTTGTGCAAAACAATTAAACATTTTTGTAGTAGTACTTGTAGTAGTATTATCATTTGTCGCACAAATTATGTTCATTTGATATACAAGTGTTTAAATACATCGGAATTAATCAAATTATAGGTTAACCACGTACATTCAATTTGTTAGTCAATCTCTGTGTACAAAAAAATAACGTTAAAAAGACATTTATCAAAGAAAAAGTTCCAATCTTTGCATATTTCTCTAGTCTATGTACAAAATTCAAAACGTTACTCTATGTTTTATACTATCTTTAATATTTATTTAAACATTATGGTTTTAAAATCTGTAGAGTTTATATTTTGTCAAAATGGGTGCGGTTAATTTATCCGCTAACTGTTCAAAAGATAACGAAAATTGCGTAGGTAAGTAATCTTCCTTTTTTGCTTTTTGTTAAACTTTTATGATACCTTATGCATATTCAATGTTCAAAAAGTTTTTTTCTTTTTTTTTTAATTGTTTAAGGTATTCTTCCTTCAGGTCTAGAGGGTGTGCTAAAATATCGATAGACGCATATACTTTCAGTTATAAAATTTGTTTGCATATTATAAATTGTTTCAATATAGATATTGCATACACAAACAGTATCTCATTGTGTTGGCTTTAAAGCCATTTTATATTTCTAAAATGAAATTGTGAAAGTCAATAAAATGCGTAAATGGACTTTATATTTTACATTCATATACATGTTTGCTATTTAAAGCACGTTTCGTTGACTTTTTTCGTCTTATATATCTTTGCAATCAACAATTGTTTAATAATATTAATTAAAAGATATTGAAACAATAAATATCATGCAACCAAATTTGATAATTGAATGTGTACACATGATTCTATGTGCATTTATTGGTATTTTTGAAAAGAAGGTAGACAAAAAAAACCTAATCAAATATAGAGTATTTTCAAAGAGGGAACATTTGCATAAGAATTTATAGAAAACTTGTTTTTTCATATTTCTACATGTATAACAATTATAGGATTAATTTACTCCACCCATTTTGACAAAATTAAAAACCTACAGATTTTGTTGTTTTTTTTTTTTTTTCATTTTTGAAATAACACATAGTATTTATTGAATGGCAAATACAGTCAAAGGAATAAAGTAACTTTTCATACACTATTTTACGTAAATTTAGAAAACCAAATTAGAGAAATATGCACAAATTAAGATTTTTATCTTGATATTTTTAAAGATATTTTAAGACAAAAACGTGAAAAAGTACTTTAATTGTGATTGATATACAATTTAATTATTTTTTATATGTTTAAACACTTTTGTATCGAAAAAAAGCATAATTTGTGCAACCAATTACGCTCTTAAAAATTATATAACTGTTTTGCAACAATACCTCTCTCTAATTAGTTAAGGCTGAAACCCAAGTCTCGAGCTGAGAACAAATTATCGTTCATGTCAAAAACAAAATAAAAATAAAGCGATTTTCAATACAGTTCTGTAGGTTATAATCCTTGTTAAAACGAAAATATAACTTTAGAAATCCACTTTTATATGTTTTACAACAGTTAGCACCACTTGTATGAGGTAATGCCAAATATAAACATTTTAACTTATTTAATCGATACATAGAAATAAGCTTTACTGTAAATCAAACATTTAACAAGAGGGCCATGATGGCCCTGGATCGCTCCCCTGACCCATCAACCGCATCCAAGCAATGTCTTAGACAAGCATCCTGGCCAAGTTTGGTGACAATTGAGTAAAAAATGTGACCTCTAGTGTGTTAAAAAGGTTTTCCATATTTGGGCAATGCGACCTAATTTTTATTCAAACTTGACCTACAAATCATCAAAACAACCTTTCTGACAAATTTCCTAAATATTTGGATCAAAACTAGAGCCACTACAGTGTTATAAATATTTTTCTTTTTTTAGCTTCTGTGACCTAGTTTTTGACCAGAGATGACCCATCTTCGAATTTGACCTAGAAATCATCAAAACAACCTTCCTGACAAATTTCCACAATATTTAGATCAAAACTGCAGCCAGTAGAGTGTTTACAAGCTTTTTCTATTTTTTGCTCCTGTGACCAAGATTTTGACCGGAGAAAACCCATCTTCAAACTTGACCTAGAGATTATAAAAACAACCTTTCTGACAAATTTCCAGGATATTTGGATCAAAACTGCAGCCACTAGAGTGTTAACAAACATTTTTCTATTTTTAGTTCATGTGACCTAGTTTTTGACCGGAGATGACCCATCTTCGAAATTGACCTAGGAATCATCAAAACAACTTTCTGACAAATTTCCAGAATATCTGGATCAAAACTGCAGCCAGTAGAGTGTTAACAAGCTTTTTCTATTTTTAGCTCCTGTGAACTAGTTTTTGACCCGAGATGACCCATTTTCGAACTTGACCTAGAAATCATTCAAACAACCTTCCTGACAAATTTCCAGAATATTTTTATCAAAACTGCAGCCATTGGAGTGTTAACAAGCGTTTTCTATTTTTAGCTTCTGTGACCTAGTTTTTAACCGAATGTGACCCATCTTCGAACTTGATCTAGAAATCATCAAAACAACCTCCCTGACAAATTTCTAGAATATTTGTATCAAAACTGCAGCCAGTAGAGTGTTAACAAGCTTTTTTCTATTTTTAGTTCATGTGACCTAGTTTTTGACCGGAGATAACCCATCTTCGAACTTGACCTAGAAATCATTAAAACAATCTTCCTGACAAATTTCCAGAATATTTGGATCAAAACTGCAGTCACTATAGTGTTAACAAGCTTTTTCTATTTTTAGCTCCTGTGACCTTGTTTTTGACTGGAGATGACCCATCTTGGAACTTGACCTAGAAATCATTAAAGCAACCTTCCTGACAAATTTCAAGAATATTTGGATCAAAACTGCAGCAAGTAGAGTGTTAATAAGCTTTTTCTATTTTTAGCTTCTGTGACATAGTTTTTGATCTGAGATGACCCATCTTCGAACTTGACCTAGAAATCATCAAAATAACCTTCCTGACCAATTTCAAGAATATTTGGATCAAAACTGCAGCCACTAGAGTGTTAACAAGCTTTTTCTATTTTTAGATCTCTTGTGACCTAGTTTTTGATCGAAGATAACCCATTTTCGAACTTGACCTAGAAATCATTGAAACAACCTTCCGGACAAATTTCCAGAATATTTGGATCAAAACTGCAGCCACTATAGTATCAACAAGCTTTTTTCTATTTTTTTAGCTCCTGTGACCTAGTTTTTGACAGGGGATGACCCATCTTCGAGCTCGATCTGTATTTCATTGAGACAAACATTCTGACAATGATCAATCAAAACTGTGACTGCTTGACTGTTTACAACCCAATTGTTGACGAGAAACGACGCACTACGACGAACGCCGGACATAGCCCCATCACTATACCTCACCTTGACCACTCTGTGGTCTGGTGAGCTAAAAACTTAAGACGTATAAAGGTTATTCGTTTGTATAATAATACACATGACACAGTTTCATTCAACGACGATTATAGCTCGAATTGAATTTCATGATACTGTTTTCATGAATATTTCAACACTACAGTTTCTATTGAGACGATTTTGAACACATGTCATTGTACATAACAGCCAATGAAATTACAAACATCTATTGTCCGTGTCATCGAATTCACTTGGCTAGAATCAAATCTTTGACCTGACGTTTTACCATCATTTCCATTAGTCATAGACCAACCGTTCGATATAGATGCGCGCGTAATTAACGTGCTATGGCATCTGATCGCCCAAGATAGACCTGGCACTTTATACATGTCAGAATAGACTGTTTGAATCCGTCTCTGAAATTCTTAGACATGAAAGCATACACGAATGGATTAACACAACTGTTTGCGTAAGACAGCAAATGAAACACCATTCGAAGGGGCTTCAAATATCCCATATGCAAATAATCAAGGTGTTGGAAGGCAACCAGAACATTGTTAACAAGTATTGGAGTCCAGCAGACGGCAAATAATACCACAACTACCATCAGCATCATAACCACCTGAAAATAATACAATCGAATGTTCGCTCGAACTCGGAGGGCCTGTGCAAATTTGTTCGAGAGATCGGTAGTTTGAGCCAACCGAGATTGAACTACTGTATTATCACGTATGACATAGGCCTATAGGGTTTTCAAGCTTACATCGGTCGAATGATTAATATGTCAACATAATAGTTTGATAGTATATCAGATCGTCGAATACGTATTTTCTTGTAAATATTTAAAATTTCTAATCTATATTCATGAATATCATAATTAGTTGAGTAAGATTGGGCAATTATTTTCCAAACTTGTTGAACAATTTTCAAAATATATTTATATAATTATGTTTATTGTGGGATACATTACAATTTAAACAATGAATTAATAAAATAGTAAAATAAAAACATTATACAGCAGCATCTATTTGTAGTCCTTAAATTAAATATAAACATGTACAAGTATCATGCTATAAATAGATAACACGGTTACAATTCACCAAAAAATGAACCACGGCTGTAATTAAAAACGTCCGAGTAAACATCATTTATTTATTGACTTTGTACGTTTCACTTATTTCACGAGTTATTTTCTTTTTATCGTTTCCAGACGGCAGATAAACAATATTAACATTACAAACAAATCGGTTACAACATCTCATAATTTTATATCAATAAACCTTAATAGCCTTTATCACGATCACGAGGTGTTAATATATAAATAACACATGGGTTTGTGGGTAACAGTAAAAATATTATCCCGAGGAAAATACTGTTACCCGAGGCGTAGCCGAGGGTAACAGTACTTTTACGAGGAATGATATTTTTACTGTTACTCACAAACCCATGTGTTATTTATTTTATTACCCCGAACAAAAATACTGTGATGATCTGAAATTGTCAACTAAATCTAACTGTAACAAAATAAACCAAGAGTAACAATAACTAAACTGTCCTCATCTTTTAAGTTTTAAGTGTACTTTAGGCCTACTTGAGAAGTTTTCTTTTTCTTTTTCTGTTATTCTTTAAGCCAGTGATGATATCTACAAATCATAAACATACAATAAGCTAGTTTTTTTATGATCTGTTAAATCTGATCCTTTTGTTTCCAGAATATTCGTAGCATGGTTTTTGACAATCCTATGTCTGTCCACCATATCTGTAACGTTTCAGTGAATATATTGTTAAATAATCCTTTGTTGCATGATTAAATCGTCTGCATGTTCCAGTTTGACACATAATTATTTACATTGCAATTACTTCCGTTGAAAACGGATGTTCACTTTTGACTATTCAACAAAAAGATATTTTAAATGCGAAAAGCACACAAGAGTGCAAACAACTAAATTTTATCCTCCAGAGATGACATTGATGTCCTATCGGGGTTAAACGTCGAAAATAAGAATGAATCGAGAAGAAATGGCGGCCATTTTATTTCATTTTATTTAGAAAATGGACCACGTGACCAGATTTTACACTGTTAAAAGATACTGTTACCTATGTAACAGTACAAAATTCTAAGTCACGTGGTACACTTGCATTAACAGTAAAAATATCTCCCAGAGGCCTATGGGAAATTAGTATTACGAAAAAAGTGAGGGATAATAATAACATGTGTCGCCGACGGTAATTTTTTCCAAACATGTCAACTCACAAATTTTGTTGCCTTTTTGTGTTCGACCGAAAAGATGTGATTTTCACTATATTTCTGCCGAATGGACTAGAGGTCAGGTTCGAGAGCGCGAGAGCGATCCGAGGTAGAACACTCTTTGTTTATAGGAATTTTGCCGGGACTGGGCGATGGGTTCGAGCGAAGGGAGGTATTCAAGCGATCTGAGTTCGATCGAACAAAGTTTAACTGTACTGTATATTTACATATAGCATGCATATGCAAGTAAAATGGTTTTTACAAAAACTATATCATCGATAGGTTTAATTACTTATGTACATGTATACAAGTTTTTATACACTCGTTTCATTTAAATCAAAAGAGCAATTGACATGAATTAAAAGAATTAAAGAAATAAGGTTATATAAGCTGAAGGTTTGATTGATTAATTATGTTGGGGGAAAAAACCTAAAAAAGAGTATCAAAGGTACAGCTCCAGTAATTGTATCAAGTTAAGAAGCATTTTCATTACTTATATAAGCGTTCCGAGCAAAGCTTGATAGACTTTGATATACTCTAATAAGGTGTACACCAAATCGCCGACCTAAATTGTTTTGATGCGCCGTAAAACCAAACAAACAAATAAACACTGAATCGTATTCAAATGTGTGCTGTCTTTCTTGAATGGAAACAAGGACCAAACAACAGCTTTTACCTGTCTACGAGTTTTATCATCATCTGTAGAAGCCCTGCTTGTTAGTCCCACCGACAATGGCGAAGTTATAGGCACTACAGGAGGTTTTATATGTGTCTCCACTGCCGGAGTAAGAACTGGTTTCACACCACTTGCATCAGATATACAATTAAAATTATCAACATTGAATTACACACAGAAGTAAATGAATGGCTAAAAATATTCGAGGTAAGAAGCGGAAAAAAGTTCATTTTGTAATATATGGTAAGATAACGTTTCAATGCAGTAAAACTTTAAATGTTTACTACTTCTTATTTGATCATACAATGCTTTTATAACGTTTAACTACAATCTAGTGAAGATTAAGTACAAAGGTAAGGAAATGAACACATATAAATGATATATTATTTTGATCGATTAGCATTTCTCGTGACAACTGTAACCTGTATTTTCCATGCTAAGAGGTGTGGTCTAAAAAAATTATATACATTCTTTATGATTTAAACAAAAAAAAATGTACCTGCTAGATCGCATATCAGCTCTGCGCGTAGCCATGTGCCACACTATATTAGCAATCCAAGTGTATGTAATTATCATCACAGAAAACGGTATAACTAGAATCAGCAGTACCATGTATAACTCGTACGCTTTACCAAACGTGGGTGATTCTTTCCAGTACTTGTGGCACCAAACAGACGGCTTAGTGTGATTTGGGCCGAAAATCTCTCGATATTGCTAAAACAATATTTAACCAGTTTTAATTATAACAATTCTTCAAATATTGTCTCGACATGTAGTAAAACAGTGAACATATTGCATGATGTATCTAATAGTCATTGCAATGTGTTTTGTTAAACTTGGTCCGATTGCATCGAAAAGTAACGTTCATAATTTAATTTTAAACTTGTTTTCTTTCGGGTTAACAAATATTCATGTAAAAACTTGTATGTTCCATCTTTATATTCATATTTTCATACTGAACACTTGTTTGAAGACTTGTTGATCGTCAAACAATACATTTATTTGTTCTTTCTTAAAAAAGAGCTTTGGAGTTAACCTGCAAATATTGTATTTCTTTGAGTTTTGGAATCCCGTATATTCTCTTTGAAAATGAAATAACAAAACATTTTGGTTATCTTTCGTACAATCGCGTATGCTCGCATGTACCCGAATAGCATAAAATGTCAAGATGGCGACATGAAGTATAAACCCAGTGAAAACTGATTTTTTTAAACATTCGAGACCCCCCCCCCCCCCCAAAAAAAAGAAGAGAACAGCCAAACCATTTTCCTTTTTACTAATATAACGATAACGTGAGACTTTTTTGTTATAGAACTTTATCAAAATGATATATTTGTTATATATACGAGTACTCGTATCAGCATTTATAACGCGTTGTTACATGTTATCATATGCTACAAGTTCACATCAGCAATATTGCCAACACTTGATTGATACTCAAAAGATTATGCAAATTACGTTTAAAATTACTGTGATATCAAAGTGTTTGTCACATTTTAAACTATCTATATATTTCGTACTATACGAGTAATCTCTTCCTGGAATTATCTGGTTGGTAGAGAACCAAACGTTTATGACAGTACTCATATTCCTAAAGCACTTAATTGCACAAGAATTTCTAAAATAGTTTATTCCTTGTGTGTTTATTGTATACGATAGCATCTAAAGATTACTCGTTATGCAATGGTGTTATCTTAGATGACCATAATATACACTTTATATTGCTTGAAGAACTTAACATTTGTAACTTCTTTATTCTATTGTGACTTGCCGAGTAATCAATATGATTATAGATTTCATCTGAATGTTTGACAAATAGTATCAAAATATAACTTTAACATGCTTTTTATCTCTCAAGTCAAACAGAGAATGGTTTATTCAATGTTACAGTTTGACCAAAACTCTTTAGATTTCACTTACAATTTGGATTATATGAACATTACACACATCTGTAAAAACAAACTGTTTGAAATATAATATATTACAACCTGCTAACACATAATAAACCTCCGCGTATCAAACTAGTCTGATAAAATACGACTGATGTAAAGATATGTGCTTAATGAATAGTTAGTATTTTTGCGCTAAAAGAAAAGGCGAATTCCTTCTGCACTACTGTCAAAAAGTTCGTCTTGTGATTGATTTTATGCTGAGATTTTGTTGGTTTATAAATCATGACTCTATGTGATGGACTTTGTTGTGAAAATCCAGTAAAGAGGGACGTTGTTGATATAGTATCACGTGGAGGTGATAAAGTATGAGTGACATAACGTGAAATGGGTGGTATCTTTAAAATATTTCAAACAATGTTAAAAGTAATTACTATTTGGAGGTTTTGAACATTTTCCAAAATATGTTTTGCGTAATAGAGGTTTTATTTTAACAATGTAAATTAACTAGGTTCAGCTTATACTATATATATATATTGCTAGAAGCAATAATAAATCAATGTTAATCTTGTAAATATTGACAAAAATGAGAGAGATATATATAAGTAATATTTGTACAATAAAAACTTACAATAGCCACGATTGTTGGAACAGCGGTAGCAAATGACGTCACCCAAGTTGAAATAATCACAATTCTTGCATGTCGTTTCGTACACATAGAACGTGCCTTTAGTGGATACCGGATAGCAATGAATCTGAATAAAAATATACTCTATTGGAACATCTGAAATGTTTTGTTTTAGAAATAAAATATAAGCTTAACGCAACTAGCTATCTTACAAGATGATTTCATTATTTGATTCGCTTTCATAACGTCATTTATACAGGACAGCTGTTTACATTTATTTGTTACTTTATAATTATCAAATTTACAATAAAGACAAATTCATCATAAAGATATTCAATTTTAACCTTAATAATGACGTTTTTAAAATGTACTTTTCATTATTGAAATTAGAAGAATCAAAGTCGAATGTCTTTAATACATGTGTATAATGATCAATAGTATTTTTTTGTTTTACTTGATTATATTGAATTATAATTTGTTACAAATTGACATATGTAAATAAGCTTATATTTTAAGCTACCATGATTTAATTTATTATCTTAGAACATAGTTTCAATATTCTTATATTTAATTTCGTACCATCTGAATCTAACGATACTTTGTTGATTGGCGTATGGATTGTATTTGATTAATAATTGATTTTTGCTTGTAACATGTAAAGAATACTTTATTATTTATCCATTTAAAATTAATTCAAAATTCAATGAAATACGGTATTGACAAATTCCATTTAGGTGATCTAATGTAACATTTTACAAACATAAAATCACCTTTCTATGCTTATCACTGTTAGTGTAAGTGCTGACTCAATCATTGACACAGCCCGAATATAGTACACAAATTTACACATGAAGAATCCCAATGCCCATGTGTAGGAATAGGACCCTATTATCTGAAACAAATGAAATAAAATAATATATTATATTAATGTAAAAATCATGTTATTTTAAAAGTCGCAAAAGGGTGTAATGTAGAATGAAATTTTGTATTTTAGCTTTTCTAAATGCGTGCACAATTGAGCATTTGAGCAGGCGAGCAGTTCAAAATGATTCCGTTCTTGTTATTTAGTTTTTCCCCTAGGAATTTTCTTTAATTCTAAGTCAATGTACATTTTAACATTCTTCTTGGACCTGATCAGATCTTTTCAATCATTAATATTAATCCATAAATAATAAAAAAGGTAAATTTAAGATACTTTTTGATATTTTATTTCGCAAGAAAGTAAACCATTAAATGTTGGGACAACGAACAATGAAATAAAAGCAACACACAACAAACAAACAAACTTAATCCAAAAACAAACAACTTGTAGTACGTTTCAAAGACAATGTCAATAAAAAATTAAATTATATATAACAGTTTTTGTGTGATAGTTATTGTTACATGTATCAATGTACCTAAAATTAGAAAACATTACATATAATATTATTTTGACTTTTTATGGTCTAATTTAGATTTTAATGAGTAAATGAAGACTTTCAATCTTCATAAAATAATGTTGTTTTTTTTACAAAATGATATTTCTATAATATTTCAATTGAACACATTTAGTAGTCCATTCATGTTTCACCATTTTTACAAACTGAGCGTAGTATATCTATATCACTTTTTATTTAATATTTTTTATTTTGAAAAAAAAGATGTGTAAAGGTAGTGATTTATTGTAACGTTAATAATTCAGTTCCATTACTCTTATATGTAGAACAATTCATTAAGGAAGTAAACCCCTAATGGCACTATAAAGAACTTTAAAATTGACAGTTATATGCCTTAAATGTCACCTGTATGCAAAATTTAAACAAAATTTACCGTGTGGTTTATGAGTTATGGACATTTTTCTGCACTAAAACTTTGCCATTAGAACGGCTTTTTTCAGAAATAAGGAAACTCTTAATAATAAATAATATCATCATTATGAAAATTGTTTTCCTATTACTCATTGTTAAGAAACAAATAATGATATTTAGGTAACAAATTAAACAAGCAAAATGATTGTTTTTAAAAGAATATGTATAAAAATGTAACCCTACCCACTCACTTTTAACACTTTTTTGACCATTTCCATGACTGTGTAAAAAGCGTTTTTTTTCAAAAAATCCCTTAACTTTTCCACAATGAGGGGCTGTTTTCAAAGTTTATCTAAACTTTTTAAATGTATATTTGTTGATCTCGCAAAATATAAAATACATTTACCGTGTAGTTTTTATTTTATTAAACTTTAAAAATATCTGGTATCGTATTCGCTATTAAATTTGGTATAACTTAATAAATAAATAAATAAATAAATAAACACAAAAATTATATAATTAAAATAAAAACATTTCCTTCCATTAGGGATCTGAGATATTAATAAAAAATGATAAAAAGAAAAACAAGAAAGAAAAAAAGTTGCCCCTTTTCGGGTTTGAACCCATGCCCATTAGTTTCAATACACTTTACAGTGATTCTAGCCTATTTGAATACTCGTCAAAGTGGAGATAGGGCATTATGAGTGTACTTCCTTAATAAACTCTAATGTCGCAAAAAATACTATTACATGTACTTTGAACATACGTAAGAAAAACGGGTATTGGGTGGAATCAGTTTTATAATTATTCGGAGGATACGTAGAAAATCTAATTCGAATTGCCTTTATGATAATGATACAGACACATATTCTTGTGTCAATTGCGTCCCAAGCAGTGATGTTATTTCAAGCTGCAAAACTAGAAATTAAAATGCACTTGGTTATCTTTTATATCATTGCATACTTTCAATTTAGATGTTTATACAGATGAATCAATTAAGGGATATGCATCAAAACCTCATTTGTTTCCAATTCAAAACTCATTTGCACATGTTTGTGCCGCCATCCTGCTTGTCTGAGATTTTTGATGAGATATCCAATCAATCTCTGCGCTTCAAACGCTATGTTACACATTCGGCAATAATTATAATCAAATAATACGGAAAGAAACATATAATTTAGACACATGATTTACATTGATTACTTAAAATGAAACCAGGAAGATAAATGCAGCAACTCCAATTAATAATACATTTTATAATATGATTTTTTACTATCAAAATTACTGTAAAACGTAATCATATCATTTCGTCTTTAGTTTACTCACTTGGCATTGAAATATTTTATTAATGAATCAAGAGTCACTTTCAACCGACAGGAAAAGGCAGAGTTCAACAATAAATAATTTAAACAATATCCTTATTATTGTTTCATAGAAATACAATAACTGAGTATTCAGAATGTTTTATTTGAATAATGTAAAGGATTCAATCGGGTCAACTATACCCATATCTTGCAATGCTATTAGCTAATATTTCAAAATGCTATTAGCTAATATTGCAAATAAGCAGAAGATTTGTAACATCATCTTGATATATTATAAATAAATGTACCGCTTCAAAGATATAAAATCCATAATATTTGAACATCTATTGCAACAAATTAAGCTTTTGAATAGTAAAATTATTTAAAAATTGATAAAAATAAAGGAGTTTTAACATATATTAATCCTTGTTGTTGAATACCGTAAGATATTTTGCTATTTCTTTATTCTCAACTTGAATTAATTTATAAAATTGTGAACATATGTTCAGACTGAATTCATTGCGTAGAATTTTAAACATATGCTACTCAATAGGGTTTAATTATAAAATATATTACAAAGCTATCTTATCAAAAACGAATAATAATTCTAGCATAATTATAACGATATTTACAACACGGGTTTGTTTTGTGTGTTTGTTTGTTTCATTTTACGCCTTTTCCCAACAGTATTTCAGTCATATAAGCGGGTAGTTTCCTAACCATCGTTCCTGGAGAGTAACACCAGTACTAGCTTACCTTCCTCCGCGCTAAACTACCAAAGCATTTTTCGGGGATCGAACCCACGCCAGAGAGTTAACTGGATTTGAAGTTATCGACTCTAACCCCTCGACCACGGAGGCGGTAGATCAGACATGGCATTACTTATATTCCAACTTCTACTTTAGTTACAATTATTTCTAGCGATAATATAACAAATGGGCAGTTTATTGCCAATAATTTCTGAGAAAGTTACAAAAAAATGGCTTTGATACTGATGCTTAAATAGCTTTCATAAAGTTTAGGGTTGTTAAATGGCCTTATATTCTAACTGTTTACAAAGTCAGCAAAACAGGTTTAAATCTACATTCAGTTTATTTTTTTATATGCACTTTAAGTAGGGATCACTTTTAAACTCCCAGCATAAGTATTGAATATGTCTTCTTTTTTAACAATAAGTAAGTAATAACAAAGATCACCATTAACTGGATCTCAGTATCATTGATTAGGAAAATTGTATGGAACAATTACTTAGCTTAATTAGAAGTGAAGTACCTATCCAAGAGACAAATTAAACATAAAGGAAGTAAGATATTTACTTATCGTTTAAGGATTTATAACACATTCATGTCAGCAAGAATTCTTGAGAGACAAAACACTTGATTTTTCAAATCCATTTCTAAATTTAGCAAAAATATTAATGGAAAAAGAAATTAAAAATAAAAAATGATATATAGATCTAAACGGATTGTAAGTTTAAATAAGGCATTGGAGTATCACTTAGGTGTACACTCTCTTATAAATGAAGACAATATCATTTTGAATAAAGGCAATCAGGTACCAAATGCATAACAATTTGTACTTTGAATTTTTCTTGACAGGACATTTTATATAAAGAATCAATAACCAAGATATGAAATATATTTGGCATCTTCTTTACGTTTTTCATAATTTCTTAAATTTGGCTAGTAAAACCACTCAAATTAGTTGTAAAAATATGCTAAATTAGTTGATGAAATACATGTTAACATATGTGATAGAAATATTTTAAATATTTGGTTCACAGATAATTAACATTTAAAGTTATGAGCATGAGAAATTATGATATTGAGATCTCTGGATTGAGCATTAAATCCTATCTTTACACGCATGCACACTCAATGTCACATAAACTGCATCAGACGTGTACTTTTTATTTTCTATTCTAGCTTTTTTAACTTTTTTATATAATTGCAGTATAATAAACAATACTTTGTATTCCTAAATGCTTCATCTATCATTTGTATCGGTTCTGTCTGCAGTTGAGATAAATTTGGGATTAAATGTGGCTTTTTTCACATGGCTGGTATAAGTTAAGATGTAGACTAAAAACAGCTTTTGAATTAGGTGTCTGCACCTTGAACACTGGTGCTGAAAGATTTTGACCAATTATGCAGTCAGACATTAAAAGAATTTTAGTGATTTTACTTAACCGAAGGTGAAACTATGGTTGCTCATCGCAACATGATATCGTTAATTGGAAATAAAGTGCTACGAAATTAAAATCACGACGTTAATCGATGTACAGTTTTTTTTTTGTTTTGTTTTGTTTTTTTTTTTAATATCTTGACGTACCTTTTGTTAAAATGAAATAAACTGACTGTAAAATGCTTCAACTTATTATAAGATAAATATTTTTAAAGAAAATTAATAGAAATAATAAATAGAGGAACGTATAAAAAGGACACAAAGCTTTCAGTTGGCAATGTTTGGCAAAATGGAGTATTTACTTGTGTTTTAAATAAAAAAAAGTCTCATTTTAGTTATAAGTTAGACAGAGCGGTTTAAATAGATTGATATTATATTAAGAAACTTCTTTGGAACTTTTGTCATATTAAGATTGATGCATTACGGAACTAATTGATACACACTTGCATTTCTTTGGTCAGTAAAAAGTTATGTGAAAAAAGATTGGAATGCCAAACAAAACAAATAATGCAGCAAAAATCTTAGGATCGGTTAATTGGTGAGTTTTCACGTGAATTGTTAGATAATTGTGGATGTTGCGATTTTAAATGTCAGAACAAATTAAGTTCAAGGCTGTC